CACACACACACACACACACACATGAAGATATAGCTCAGTTTAAAATACATAAATGTACATTTGGGGAAAATAAACATTTGTTTTCTTTTAAGACAGAAGTTCAATACCTAAAAACTGTTTAATAAGAAAATGAAAGCTGTAAAATGTGTAAACATTATATATATTTATTTCTAATATGTGTATACTAAGTATATTTAGGCAAATACCTACATTTAAAACTTACTGAAATATTAACATGATTCATTTCAACGCAGAATTTTAAATGTGGATGATTTAAAACAAGTAAGTTGTTGTTGGTAATGTAATACATTTTTAATTACTACATATTTACCATGAAATGAGTGTTATTAAGCAAAATATGTAAATGAATAATAAATAAACAGAAGGAACAGGAAGAGTCTCATTCAGAAAGAGAGCGAACACACTGAGCTTCTCATGAATACGAGCGCTGCAGGACTGCGCGCACAAACCACACGTTCTGGAGTTTGTCCTGGTGAAGAACCGTGAACACCATCTGACGGCTGGAACCCAAGCCCCGTGCGCTGCATCCGACGAGTCGCTGTAATGTCACACAAACACTGAATACAGCAGCAGATCTCATCAACACCTGCTCGCCGAAGACTACCCAGCATGCCGTGCTTCTAAAACAGACACTGTTACCCGGTACACAAAGATTGGTTTAAAAAATGCAACCCCCGGTGACGTGTGGACCCTAGAAAACGAACACTCGGGACAACAGAGGGTCTGTCAGAGGCGTCGGGGGCTCGGGTGGCCGTTGTGGAAGAGCTTCTGTTTGACATGCACCACGTTATTCCCGCCATCCTCCGTCTGGCGTGTCTGCAGGCGTCTGCGCAGCTCTCGCAGGCTACACACGCGCGACACCCAGCGCCACGAGCGCCACACATCGCCGTCCGCACCTGAAACAGCACCATAATGCCGTCAGCTCCTCCGCCCCGGTTCACATTCCTGAAGAACGGCTGCTTGATACAAGAGTCAAAACTAATACTTCTCAATTATCTGATCAGCAACTTCTCATTAAAGATGTTTTGAATGTTACCATGTTTTTACTGCATTTTCACCTTTTTTATTCATTTCTTTAAAAATTAGAAATTATATGACATTTGAAATTACACATGACCCAAAAAAAACTTTTTAAAAATTATAATAATTTAAAAAAAAAATTTTAAATAAAAGAAATTTTTTTTTTTATATTGATGAGAAATTTGATATGAGTATATCATTGTATGGAATTTATAAGATCATATAATGTGAGAATTACCAGTATTAACCTCATGAGAATTAATACATTTAATTAATTGAATTTATAACTCTCCAAGCCCGAATTTATAAAACCTACATATTTATTTCTATCAAAACAACATAAATATTACTCCGAAAAAATTTAAAACTAAATAAACTCATATTACTTGCATAAACTTTCACTTTTAGTAAAAAAAAAAAAGTTATGTTTTTCATGTCGATAGACGCACAAATTTATGTTCAGAAAACAAAATTCAGTCCAAAAAGTGTGTGAGATATGAGGAAAAGGCTGCATATATTTGACACGTTTTTGACACTAATATAACTTCATACTAGATCATAGTATTTTTGACACCAATGGTGCTCCATACGTACCCGGGTCATTTTAATTGGTTATTTCCCTTAAAAATAATACTTAAGAATCTGTGGGGGGGGGGATTATAAATGATGTGTGCTTTGAGGTTCTTAAAGAGCATGTGCACAGGTTCATTCCCTTACTAAAACTATGCTTTTTAATGTTTTTAGAATTTTGAATGCATCTCTCCTGGTTGAAAACAGGCCCGAATGCGTCGAGAGGGCTAAGCCTAAAGCATCTGAGACGGTTCCTCACGATGGTGCTTCATCTCACCGTAGTGTCTGCTGGACCTCCATAAGCGCAGAGCGCAGTGAAGAGCTCCGTCCAGCCACAGCAGGATCCAGCTGATGCAGAAGCCCATGAGGAGACCCAGCACCAGGTCCAGCTCCTGCTTGCTCACGCTGCTCCCGGCGGAGGAACCCACGGAGCTCGCCGAGCCCGAGCCCTCGTACGGGATCACGTACTCCACATGGTGCCTGCGGCAGCGACAAGAACATCTCAGTAACCCACCAGCGGTGAGGTCGAGATCTTTGACTAATCTGAGCAGAGTTTTGTTGAGATCAGTGGAGATTCCTGCAGGCCTTTCCTCCGGAGAAAGACTCGCGGCTGTGTGGGAGTCGCTCTTTTCACAAAAACAAACAAAAGAAGCCCTACACGCCTTATTTTTAATGCAAGAATAGTAATTAAAAAACATTTAAATATATAACTTATACATACAACTGTAAATATAATTTTTTTTAATATAAAATAAATTTTATACATATATTTAGCCCTCAAAAACATACAAAAAAAAAGGCCAAAAAACACATTTGCTAAAATATATATTTAGGTAAATATATTTTCAATATCAATACATATTTGGACTTTTATGTATATCTTTAAAAACATAATTTAAGATTTTGCCGAACTTACATACGGAAATATTTATTTTATATATATTGTGTTGTCTATAGCGCATCTAAATCTAGGCTGTATTATGAATATATTTAATAATATTGTATAATACATTTAGAAATATTTTCGTATATGAAGGATTAGCATAGGCCTATATTTTACATACATTGTGGACAGAATTTTAATTCATTTTTTCTATTTTGCATTCGTTTCCAGTTATTTCCGCAGTACAAAAACACTCGCTGCTTGATATCGCAAACTAGTATATTATTGTATTATAAACACATTGGATTGTTGCTGCACGATACGCTACTGCACTTTGTTATTCTTCTACTTATTTACGAATAATGTAATATTAAGGAATATAGCGGAGAATGAAGCGGAAGGCTCGCACATACACCGATAATCGCGTCGCAAATAATATCGGTATGGCTCTTAACTAGTTAACATCTGTGGCTTACAGGAAATAGCCAATTTAACGCTATATAGCGTTTGTCAACCAATCGGAGATTCGGAATTTAAGTGATACATTGTATCACCGCGTGTTTGGGCCAATAGGAACGAAAGCGCGCCTTACCTGCCGCAGGTGCAGTGACACACGCGCTCCGGTCCGCGCATGCGCGGCAGGATGAAGTTGTGAAATCGGTCCAGCAGCGCATTCATGTCGGACATACACACGATGGCCTGGAAAACACCAAAACTACTGCCATTTCCCAGCGATCAGCGTTTAAAACTGCATTTCAACACATGCTTGTCCACAGAAAACCACAGTTATCAATAAAGTTGAGCTGCGGTCAGTGTGAGAGCTGCGTAATTCCTCAGCAGATGCTCACAGATCTTCTTACCAGCACCAGAAGCGCTCCAGACACCACAAACACCGCCATCATTACAGCCGCGTCTTCGCCACAGTCCGCGGATCAGCGCAGCCCTTCATCCTCATCCTCATCATCGCGGAGCATCAGATGTCTCACCTGCGGCGCGTTTCTGCATGGCGTCTGTCGCTGGCTCTCAGCAGCTGTTGCTCCGCGTCTGACGCTGTATCAGATCTCAGATCAGTGCATTAGCTTAATGAGGAGCTCCTGCGTCACGCGCTTCTGGAATATCAGACGCACCGCGGTAACACTGTAGCCCACATCGCGCCGGCACGTGTTTGCCTTTGCTTTTATAATGTAACATTGTGCTACAGTGGTTTGGGACAGTTCAGATTCCTTCACACCAAAAACGATCATTATAACTAAATAGCGATTATTCTAAACGTGCGCAGTTTTTTGTGGTGTCGCTTTAATTTGAATGGATTCTGATTGGTTGCCAGCATTTCTATCGTTCATCAGCTGGAAACTAATTGATATTTCGCTATAATAGTGGACTCCGCTATTGTTTTAAAGTGCTGTTTACATTATTATAGAGATGAGTGCAATGAGTGTTCACACCAACTCCGCATTAAGCAGGATGGATTCTGATTGGCTGACAGTGATTTATCGTTCATCACTTGGAAAAATCGTCCAAATATTCCAACAATGTCGTTGTTATGGTAACAGCTGGCTGTTAAGATTATCCAAAGATTACTGTAAAAGTATTGTAGCCGTGTTTTTTTTGCAGTATTGATAACCACAGTTTCATGACAAATACCACGGTTTAAGTGCATGTTTTATTTGGAGTAAAACCATGGTTAATTCTCGTAAGGAGATCTTCAGAGTAAATTTGACACCGCCGTGTCGTTTAATAAGGAAAAACGCCTCCCCTTGAGATTCGTCAACGCTTTATTCATTCATTCATTCATTTATAGCGCAATATATACACAAGAATAATCTCAGGCACTCTGGGCTGCTTCATGTACAGTTACAGAATCTTCTTTTCATTTACAAAATTAAAGAAAAACAAAACAACACAAAATATGCTCAACACGTATCAAATCTCATGTTTAAATAATGACGAAATCAATTCATGAGAAAACCAAAAGAGAGTCATGAAACATTACATCATCGAAATCAAACCCCTTTGTAAGCACGTGATCAGATAAAGTCAGTGTCCAGCTGCAGGAGAACCCTCACTAATAACTGTAGGGCTCCTAAACGCTCAGACCAGGATCTCGCGACAGCGCTAGTTTTACCCTAGAACCGTTTCGTCTCTCTGAATGTTCCTCAGTTGCATTCCCTGTTAAAAAAAACAGCATATGCTGGTTAGGTATGTTTTGATGCTGGGAT